ACATTCCTGTCAAGTTTTGTCATATTCAGTTTAATAGTTTGAGAAAAATCTAGCATAATGTAAGACGACATCTACAGCGATTCGAGCAAAATTTCTTCGAAAAATCCAAACCAAGCCGCATCATGATAGAATATAGTGTGGACCAATAAATGATCAAATATTTATCTCATCTGCCTACAAACAGTTGAATATGATACAAAAGATGACTTTAGGATTATAAATACTACTAATGGACCTCTTTGTCTTCCTTATAAGGTCTCTTTTTGGTCCATTTATACATCTCATTTCCTCAAAATTTCTACTTTTTAGGCCAATAAATAAAAATTTTGGGGTAACTTTCACTCATTTATGATAGAAATGTTATAATAAATGATTAGTTGAAGTATTCAAGCTGAATGAACTATCCGTATAAACGTTTACTGTCTCCAAGGAGGTTTCAATAAGTCCTTAGAACGTAAAACTTAAATTTACGCCGCGTTCCAGAGAGGAACATAAAAAGCTTCTCTTTTGGTGAATAATTTGTTGTTACTGCTTTAAAAATAATTTCATTTACTTAAAACTATATATTTATTTAAGTATTTCTGAGGAAAAAATTTCAAGTATAGCAGAATATAAGAAATAAGGAGAAAAAGCTCCCCAAAACTCTAAGTATGGCTTGTTCTGTCAACTAATATTCATGGTAAAGTCCTATTTCAAGGAAATTTTCTCATAAAATGTATTATGAAGACTCAATGCACTCAGAATATTTCATTATTTGTAATATTTCACTTCAATAGCAAGAAATTTTAACACATGAGAGTACTCACCAGGTCAAAGGTGCATGTACAACTGCCCATATTAGGTGTAATACCACCATTGATTTTCCCCTATTAGTCTTTGTTAAATTTGCACTTTTCAAACAATTGTACAGAATTTATCTTTGTTTCAAATAAAAAAATACTTGGCATGAGTAAAGTTTTATCCTGTCCAGTAATATAGAAAAAATTTCACATAACATTTCATTGCATATAAGAAAATAACCATCACTGGAAGTTAACCAATCAAATTTTCCCCCTTTTTTAACCGGTGTACAAGCTTTAGTAACCATAAAATTGAGAATGGAAATGGGGAATGTGTCAAAGAGACAACAACTTGACCATAGAGCAGACAACAGCCGAAGGTCACCAATGGGTCTTCAATGCAGCGAGAAACTCCCGCACCCGGAGGCGTCCTTCAGCTGGCCCCTAAACAAATATGTATACTAGTTCAGTGATAATGGACGTCATACTAAACTCCAAATTATACACAAGAAACTAAAATTAAAAATGATACAAGACTAACAAAGGCCAGAGGCTCCTGACTTGGGACAAGCGCAAAAATGCGGCGGGGTTAAACATGTTTTTTGAGATCTCAACCCTCCCCCTATACCTCTAGCCAATGTAGAAAAAACAAACGTACAACAGTACGCACAGTAAAACTCAGTTTAAGAGAAGTCCGAGTCCGATGTCAGAATAGGAAACAAAAGAAAATAAACAAAATGACAATAATACAAAAATGAACAAAGGACTACTAGCAGTTACTGACATGCCAGCTCCAGACCTCAATTAAACGGATTGAAAGATTATGTCTTCATCATATGAAAATCAAGTACAATCCCTCCCGTTAGGGTTTTAGTATCATACCATCATAAAATATATGAGAAGAACATAACCCGTATCATGCCAACAACTGGTTTTAGAATAACTGTGTTTAATTCCGATGCAAAGACCCTATAAGTGAATCAATATTAAAGCCAAAATATGCAATCTTTAATGACCTGACATCAGTATCGTAACTATATCCCTTCTTAATAAGTCTGTTTAAAGGTTTTGTTAGCTTTTGAGGTGAATACTGACATTTTTGTGCTTTGTAAAGAATATTACCATAAAAGATTGGATGTGAAATACCCGAACGTATATGATGTCTGCATGTTGAGTTATATTTACGAATGATGTCCTTATACCGATGATAAAATTTAGTAAATGTTTTGACTAGTTTGTGATATCGAAAACCCTGGTGTAATAATTTTTCAGTAATACATAAATTTCTCTCGCTAAAATCTAATACGTTGTTACATACACGAGCGAATCGTACAAGTTGAGATATATAAACACCATGAGATGGTGACAAGGAACCATCACCATCTAAAAATGGATAATTAACGATAGGAAATGAAAAATCATCTCTTTTACCATAAATGTTTGTATTAAGCTTCCCGTTAATGATATAGATATCAAGATCGAGGAAAGGACAGTGGTCATTGTTTGTATTAGCTTTATTTAAAGTAAGTTCAACAGGATAAATTTCTTTAGTTTACATACTGAAGTCGTCATTATTGAGAGCCAATATATCATCCAAATATCTAAAAGTATTGTTAAATTTTTGTATCAGATGTTGTTTTAATGGGTCTTTGTTGATTTTAGTCATAAATTGTAGCTCATAACATTACAAAAACAGGTCCGCAATTAGTGGTGCACAGTTAGTCCCCATTGGAATTCCGATAACTTGATGATATACGGAATCTCGAAAGCGAACAAAAATGTTATCAAGTAAAAATTCAAGGGCAGATATAGTATCAAAGCATGTCCAATTGACATAGCTCTTTTGTTTGTTGCTACTAAAAAATGACCTAAAAGAGTTTGAACATATGTATTCGCATTCCGACTTTTTAAATGCCCATTTAATTAGGTGTGGGAATTTTTTCTTAATAAGAATATGAGGCAAAGTGGTATATAGGGTAGAAAAATCAAAACTTTGAACAGATTCAAAATCACCAATATATGCATGCAATTTATCAAGTACTTCCAACGAGTTTTTGACAGTCCAAAAGTAGTTAATTCCACTATTTTCAAAGGCCTTATTTGAACAATTCATTATCAGGTTTTTGATTGCACCAAGTGTACTAGTAAGTAGAATAGACAATTTAGTAGTGGAACAATGACTTGAAGACGAAATAAATCTATATTTGTAAGGTGATTTGTGTAGCTTCGGAAGCCAGCACATAGTTGGGACTTTCATTGTATTTGGTAATATCAAGTTTCAAAATATTCTATAGAAACCCCAAATAAAAAAATAATGGTGCTTTGAAATAGCCAAGATATATGTTTATGACCCGGAAATGTTTTACTACAATGAAATGTAGCATCAATTACCTATAACTGTCAAATTGAAGGGAATATGTTTTTCGACCTATTTTCGTATGCAACCTGATGTGACGTACTATGATTTGGTGGTATTACACGTAAAGAGCAGATAATTTTTTTTTTTGCGTGATTCGCTGAACCCCTGAGGGTTCACGCATATTAATTAGTTAGAAATATAGTCTATGGAGGAATATTCGGAAGCTAAATTATTCTTCATTCGGAACACTTATTCATCTTATCTGTATTAGCCTCCTGCAATTAAGAGCACCTCCATACGGGGGTATACGTCGCAATAAAGAAATTGTCACAAATCGCTTATTCTCTTATCTGATATATGATAATAAACTAAATATATCTATTGATCACTTTCAAACATTTATGTTAAAGCTATATTTATGCATCGTAAGTGTTTACTTGAGCAAAGTTGACAGTTGCAACGTTTGATAAACAAGTGAAAGTTAAATGGTCAAGATTTAACGACCTATGGTATCGAATATATTAATGGTGTTGTGGTTTCTACATAATGAGTTCTAGTAGGCTTTGGGATTTGTTGATTTGTAACAATAAATTTTATGCACATGTCATTTTGACAAATCAGATAAACAAAAATGTCCGTTTCAAAAACTGAAAATAAAACAAATAAAATAAAGACTGTTTGTTAATATTCCCAGGATATAATCATATTCTTAATAATAAAAAAATATATTATATACTTTTTTTAAATAAGGAAATAGATTTAACAATTGCATGTCAATCTTTCATGAGGTCTTTAAAAAAATATGTTATGCAAAAGAATAAAATTCAAATACACAAAACAATTAACTCTAGATTTTTACACTGAATAAGCATACAATGGATTCTGTAAACATTGGAAAGTTAGAAAAAGAGTGTATTTGATCTTACGTTCGGGTATTTGTTTAAGCAATTATATATCAATATAAGAATTAAGATTGAAAATACATAATATACTGAGACCAACATTCTTTTAATAAATATATCTGAATTTATGAAATTGTGTTTTAAAATTAAAAATTATTATGAAATGCGGTTCCTTCAACCAACATACGTAATAAATCTCAAGACTTTAAACCGTTTTTGCTAACTAAATAAATGTTTGTTGCCTATAATTCAGAATTTTATCAGTGTTTCGGGATTTTTTGCTTGAAATTGTTTAAGCATGGGTCCCTTTTCAAAAGTCTCCCAACAACTACCTCGCAAGGTATTCTTGTTGGCATGCGTTTATATGCTTTTTTGACCTCGTGTGACTCAATTTTATTAATGAAATCTTTTGTATCTCGAATGTAAAAGTTAAGCCTTTTCAATAATGGTTTTATAATCAGATCAAGAAATCTCTCAATGCATCTCGTGGGAGAGTTACACTTATTGGTAATTGGTCGGTAAGGAACATTTAATGTCTCCTACTATCTGAACAGTTCGCAATGCCTCATTAATTATGTCTAAGATTTATTTTATGAATTTTTGAAAGAAGGTACATGTGTCCATGTTTTGAATCATTATCATTCTTTAAGAAATTATACGTCTGGGAATCCATTTCTTTTTATGGCCCTTACGTAGCGGTGGGGGCATTACGTTTTACCCTTAACTGAGTTGGTTTCCGTTCTCTAACTTAAGTTTGCCTCAAACAAATGTTATGAAACTTATACACAATGCTTATTACCACAAAATACAGATCAAGTTTGAAATTGGTGGCGTCACTTTAACCGTTCTAGAGTTACATGTATGCCCCTTTTCAAATGAAAAATTACTGAACTTTTCATTTCCGTACTCTAACTTTAGTTTTTCTCAACCAAATGGTATGACACTTGGAATAGGATCCCAGTTACGGCAACCAGTCCGGTACCCACGAATGTAGTTCTTAAAAAAAATATATAACTTTTATTTAAAATGGTGTAGTTTTATTATTACACAAGTTCTGTAACTGAATGTAGATTTATTTGAAAGGGTAGGCTTTCTAGCTTGAATTTCTGTAAAAATTTTGATTGATTTAAATGTAATCAGGCGTCGGTACATAGAGTAAATTGCCTAAATTCTAGCCTTTATTCTTCCCCGGAAGTAGATGGACCTACCCTGTTGTCAATAGAAACAAAATTTTGCAACGGAATGCCGGTCATGAGGCACTGAGATTGTACTTAGAAACTTCGAAACAAATGCCTAACATGAAACAGAAGTCCCAAGGTGGCTATCAAAATTATTTATTGGACAGCACCCCATTTATTTACTATGATTTTCAATGCGTTTCAATGGGGGAAATAACTGGGTCCCCGTTCCTGTCAGAGGGCATATTTTGAACACTTCAATCTGCAATTGTAAGCTTATTTTTGGGGTTACATGGATGACACTTGGCCAGAAACTTGAAAATTCAATAAGAAAAACAATGGTGTAATTATTTTTAAAATTTGAATTAAACTTTTTAAATTAAACTGAAATTTAAATTTATGAAATTTTTAAAAAGTTTGTTTTTCAATTTAAAGTTTCAGAAGGGGTCACAGTGAGGTCATTTTGATGGTATTATGTATTCATACACTTGTAAGTTAAAATGGAGGGATTTTTCAAAAAATATCAGCAAAGAATATTAGAAAAGAGCCACCTGGCAAGAAATAACAAATGTCTTATATGGGATCAGGGGACAACAAAAGATGGAAAATATGGGCTTATTTCTTTCCAGTATCATATTTCTGGGACCTGGAAAAAGAAAAAAGCCCATAGATTCAGTTTTATGGTTTTTAATTAGTTTTTGATAAGTTTTAAATATTAAATACAACACTTTATGCCATTTTATGTGTCAACAAAGTTTGTGTGGGAATGCGGGTCACATTACTGAAGAGCCGCATCACATAAATAACCACAGAATATTTCGTAAACTCAGAAAATCTTGCCAGGGGCTCTCCAATTTTCCAGATTGGGGCCTGGATTTTTTTTGGAAGATATATAAGGGATAGGGCTATAGCTTATATAAACAATTTTAACGAATGTACAACAATTTTAGACTCCTTTTTAAAGATTTTGGTGGTCCTTAAAAGGACCGTTAATTTTGTCTGTATCTTTTTCAGCAGTAGATGAATGCAGCTATATCTTCCTTTGATTTTGGAACTTTTGAAGAACAGCTTCTGGTAGGTATATTCTTCTTAGCAGGTATTACTCTACCATATGAATGATCGTCCTTTATGCTTTTACAAATGCAGCATCAAGTTTTGGATCAGGTTGCCCTTTTTTATATCTATCTGTACATTTACTTCGATCCTTTTCTTCCACATGAACCTTAGTCTTCTGTCCGGTGCGTTGTAAATTTTTCTTTTTCCTTTCTGGAGTATTTTGGTGTACTTTGTTCCGTTCACACTCCCTTTACATCTGGTCGAAGTGTTTTAATGAACCTATTGAGATTTTAAAACCAATACATTCTGCTTTTTGTCACAAGGAATAAGCTATACCATTATTCAAATTGTGAATTATTGCTGATGCCCTCCCTTCAAATTTCTAGAAAAGTTCACATTCTTTGGTAAGGAAACACTTAGTGCTCCCTTAACAGCTTCACCTTTTTGAGTATTATGATTAAATTTCATTTTCATAAATACTTTTCGCTAAGTTTCATTTTTAAAAGTTCCTGCATTATTAACTTGTCTTTGTTATCCATATTCAGGTTGGTTAACTTGTTTGGACCCAAGTACATAGATCTCAGCCACCAACAGTTTGAGTGTCCACCACCACCACACACGTATGAACTAGTGGGACATTTAGAGCAGTCACAAGTATAACAATGCACAGTAGCATTAAGCATTCAGGCAGATCCAGGATTTCCCTCGACATTTGTTAAACTGTAGGAGGTGCCGTCTTGACTGGTTTTAGCTACAAGTGAGAACTTCTCTGCATCTAGCCTCTTCCATTGTATATTAAATGAACTTAGCTGACTATTTGAAGACTAAGTCTCATGATTTATACCCTTGTTATGGGGTATGCTTCTTTGCATATGTAATTCTTATAAGATTTTTTTTTTTAATTAAAAAATTAATTATAATTAACTTTTTTTTCAGCAAAAAATTTTTTTAACTAGATTTCTATACAAATAATGAATTTATCTATCATGTGCAATTTACAGAATGTAAATATCTTTTAAAATAAAAAAGTTTTGCTGATTTTAAGAATATTTTCTTCATGAATTTATGATTTTATCCGATCAATTTTCTGGTATTTGAGATGTCATTGATAAGGATCAATAATTCTTTAACTGTTGGTTCAAATCTATTGAAACTTTGCACAATAACTACTGAGATGTATATCTTTATTTTAAAAGTGCAGTTTTAAGTCTGGAAAAAAAATTAAAGTCTGACAGGAATAGGATCCCAGTTACGGCAACCAGTCCGGTACCCACGAATGTAGTTCTTAAAAAAAATATATAACTTTTATTTAAAATGGTGTAGTTTTATTATTACACAAGTTCTGTAACTGAATGTAGATTTATTTGAAAGGGTAGGCTTTCTAGCTTGAATTTCTGTAAAAATTTTGATTGATTTAAATGTAATCAGGCGTCGGTACATAGAGTAAATTGCCTAAATTCTAGCCTTTATTCTTCCCCGGAAGTAGATGGACCTACCCTGTTGTCAATAGAAACAAAATTTTGCAACGGAATGCCGGTCATGAGGCACTGAGATTGTACTTAGAAACTTCGAAACAAATGCCTAACATGAAACAGAAGTCCCAAGGTGGCTATCAAAATTATTTATTGGACAGCACCCCATTTATTTACTATGATTTTCAATGCGTTTCAATGGGGGAAATAACTGGGTCCCCGTTCCACTTATACACAATGCTTATTACCACAAAACACAGATCAAGTTAGAATTTTGGTTGTGTAACGTTTACTGTTCTAGAGTTATGTCCCTTTACAAACATAAAAGTTTTCGTTCTCTTACTTAAGTTTGCCTCAACCATATATTATGAAACTTATACACAATACCTATTACCACAAAAGTCAGATCAACTACAAATTTGGGTAGTGTCACTTTTACCGTTCTTCAGTTATGTTCCTTTAAAACTTTATATGATATGCAAGCAGGCATCATGTGTGTCCCATGGACACATTCCCTTTTTATTTTCATCTCACTTTATAATTAACACCACTCTCATATTGTCATGATTTACAATAATTTAACTTCTTCAAAACTTATATAGGATGTATAGTTCGGCGTCCGCTAAAAAGGAGCAAAGGAAAGTGTTTATCTCTTCTTCACAAATACGTATTCCATTGAATCCCGATATTTATCATGTTTATATTTTTTTTAACAATGACGGTCTACCTCCATAAGCCTGGAAATATCATGGCGGCTCACATATATAGATGTTTGTAGACTGCTATCCCCCTAGGGTATCATCAGCATAGTACTTAGTCAGCGCTTTGGTACTGGCATGATTTGAACATATCTTTCTTATACTTCCCGTTGGGTAATTTAGAATTTTTAAGAAACTAAGGTTCCAACTACATCAGGCACAGTTGACCTTAGGTGGATGGATTTGGCTATAAAAGAATAGCTCCTCAAATTTCAAGTATTTATATATCCTTGGTTTACAAGTTTTGGGGTTTGAGCGGTCCTGATTAAGTTTGGATTTCTTTCAATATGTTTTTATTTAAACTACAACCTTGAAAACAATGTTACATTTGACCATGCACATTATAGCAACGAAAAAGAAGAATCTGATTCACATCCTGTTTATAAAAACACGGGAAAGTTTATTCTGTGCTACTGTTTCTGCTTTGGTAAGAATGTTTGCACATATGAATGAAGAAAATAGAACGTAAAGATATATCTTTCACTATGAAATTTCAAATATAAATAGGAAAACTTTCAGTTTAAATTTTTTAAATTAGTAATTTTTATATAGTTTGTACTTGTCGGATAATTATTCGACGGTCATATTTAAAAATCGCGTTTCGGACGTACCAAATTTATTATTAAAGTGTTATATTTTCAAAGCCACGTGACCATTTTGGAAAAAAATAGTTCTATTTTTAGACCGATTTCCATATGTCGTTTGTTTAATGTGCTTCGGATGAGTGTCGCTATCCATTGAGTTGAAGTTCAAATTAAAGTTCGAGTTGTTGTTCAGAGTTATTTGGTATGAAAAAGGGGAACGGCAGACAAAAATAAGAAAAAAAGTACCAAAAAATCTCAATATTTCGTAGTTAAGGGGGATATCCCCAAACCACATGGTCCTGCCGGGTTTTTTTTTCACTTAGTTCTCAAATGGAAGCAGTATTACAATAAATTCGTGAAGAATTCCACGGAACCCTGTGTCTCGCCTGAGATTGCTGCTGTCGTAAAAGTGTAATGTTGACTGTAAAACGTCCATTTATCGGTAAAAAACTAAATTAAAAAAAATATTTTTTTGTACATGCTTTATCTCGATATAGAAGATTAACTCCTATACAAGTTTTATAACAATTCATGGAGGTTTACAAATTTATCATGACAAAATAGTTTAATTTGGTAATATTTAATGCAAATAAAACTTATATAAAAATAAGAAGATGTGGTATGATTGCCAATGAGACAACTCTCCACCACACTCTGTACCAAATGACGTAGCAGTTAACAACTTTATGTCACTGTATGGTCTTCAACAATGATCATGACGAGCAATTTAGGCTAAAATAGAATAGAATCCAAATTTGTCTTGGGGAAACATACACGGTGAATATTGGCTATTACACATCATATCTCCCACAGTACAAAACAAGACTTCAATGCAATCACAGGGTTATAGAACAAATACACAAAATCGTGGTCATTATATTTCAAATGCATCTACATTTTCCACCACTTACACAAGAACAAATCAGCAATCCCAGGTAACTAGTGGTAGTACAAGTATGTCCTGTAAATACTACAATAATGGTACTGACTGTCCATACTTCCCTCGTTGTAGGTTTAAACATGTATGTGAAATATGCAGTGGCAAACACAGAATGGCCCAATGTAATAACCGGACCAAAGGAAGAAGTAACAAAAAGTATTAATTTTTATTAGGAAATACTCCTGTTAAAGTATCTGTCTTGAAAAGTTATTTATAATTTTAGCCACATAAAAATGTAGCACATGAAATTATATCTGGTTGCAATATGTTTCTTCATGAAAATAAGGGAACCAAGGGAAAGTTCTAATTCAAAAAGTGCAATACAGCTACCCAACATTTTTAAAGAAAAAAATGAATGAAGGAAGTTAAACTTGGTCGCATTGCTGGTCCTTTCAGATTCCCGCCTTTTCCCAAACTCCAGGTATCCCCAATGGGGCTAGTGCCAAATAAGGATGGGGATTCTAGACTTATTCAACATTTATCCTATCCTGGGAATAAATCAATAAATGATTTTATTGATAAAAACCATTGTTCAGTGCAGTACAGTTCAGTGGACGAAGCAGCATGTTTGATTAATAGACACAAAACATTTGCCCGTTAAAGCCAGTGTGATGTAAAGGCGGCTTTTCGCTTATTGCCTATTGCCCCGCAGGATTTTGACTTGTTGGGGATAAAATTTCAGGGTGAATATTATCTTAACAAAAGAGGGACGAAAGATACCAGAGGGACAGTCAAACTCATAGATTGAAAACAAACTGACAACGCCATGGCCAAAAATAAAAAAGACAAACAGACAAATAATAGTACAGATGACCCAACATAGAAAACTAAAGACTAAGCAACACGAACCCCACCAAAAACTGGGGGTGCTCTCAGGTGCTCCGGAAGGGTAAGCAGATCCTGCTCCACATGTGGCACCCGTCGTGTTGCTTATGTTATTACAAATCCGGTAGATAGTCTAATTCGGTAGGTCACATTCGTGAAATGGGAGGGGTATTGCAGTTACGACATAAGGAACATATCCGATATCATCTGTGAAACGGTTATTTCATAACGGTCAACCAACTCGTGATGGCGTCCGTAAAATTTACGAAGGGATGATTTCAACTTCACCATTTGGAACTCTTGGTTTAATAGCTTCCTTGTGAGCAGCAATCCTCTATCAAGGAAATCATGATAGGAAATACAAGCCCGGGAATATCGTATCAATTGGGAGATATATATACTCCGTATGCAGGCGCTGCTGGAATGTTGCTACATAGAAATGGAAAGATCACAATTGGGAAGCTGAAATCATCTCTTTTGTCGTAAAGTTTTGTTTTCAACCGACCCTCATTGTCAATTTCTAGATGTAAGTCAAGATATGAGGCAGACTTAACTGTATCTGTAGTATCCTTTATCTCTAGTTCGATGGGATAGATTCTTTCAATATTGTCACCAAATTTTGTATTATTTAGTGAGAGAACATCTATATAGCGGCCGGAACGTAAAGTTAACGGATATTACTAACTTCTTATCTTTCTTCCTAAGAAGTTCCTGTATGAAGTCAGCCTCATAACAATAAAGAAACAAGTCGGCAAAAAGAAGGGCACAATTGGTTCCCATGGGAATTCCGACAGTCTGTTGAAAAACACGTCCTCCAAACGTAACAAATATGTTGTCATTCAAGAAATTAAGCATCTTAATAATGTCAGCTTCAGAGAATTTTTTGTTTGAATCAGAGTGATTCTTTACAAAGTAGGATTTATCCCTCCCCAAGACAAGATACTTGTATCTACGTTCGCCACTCTTTTTAATGAAACAAAGCAATACCAACTCTTTCAATTTGTCTTTTAGTTTGGAATGGGGAATACTTGTGTAAAGTGTAGAAAAGTCAAATGTTTCAATATTATTGAAAGATGAGAGAGTCTTCGATTGTATGTACTCTAAAAGATCTTTGGAATTTTTTGTATCCACATCTGATTCACGCCACCTCTAGAATAGGCAGTTTCACAATAACATTGGAGCCCGGCTTTGATTGCTGATACAATAGATATATATTAATAATTTAGATGAGGTTTCGTGGAGCACTTGCAAAAGTTTTGCATTGGATAATACAGCAAAAAAGTGGAAATAATAATATATTCAATTATTTAAACGATTTTCTTTTTGTCGAGTCGAGCGAAACATCAGAAGTTGGCAATACTTGGAAGATGTTTCAAGAGGTATGCGATAAAATAGGTATTCCTCTTGCTAGTGACAAGACTACTTTGCCTCACTTTTTTTAGTATAGAATTTGATACGCA